TATTTGATTTCAAGAACTTCAAGAAGGCGGCATAAGAGACGTGTTTGCAAAGGTAAGTTCTCCAGTTTTAGTAAAATTGAATGTATTGGGGTAGGATTGGTGTACATTCCGTGATGTACGGACGTGAATATTATGATGATTGCCAGCTTTGTATTCTTGTGAAAAGCCAAAAAAGCAAACAAGTGTCTCCAATCTATGAAACTAGTTTGTAAATTGTATACCCTTTCAAATTATTGTACACGAACGATTAATTCACGAGGACATAGTTTTCAAGTAAATCGTTTTCCGGTCTTTTGCTTGTGTCGCGATTTCCGAAATATCCACAACTCGGGGGGGGAAAAGAATGTCCCTGTGTCAATCAATTTATTCATTATATAATAGCAAGTTGCCTATGATTATATTTGTATTTTTTATGTTGTGAGCATTGAACTGTTAGTTGTAATGAAGATTTTGCCGAACTCGTGCGATTCAACATGGCGCATGTACAGTGACAACACGTGTATGGACGGTCAGTCGAGTAGTCTGCAACAGACCATGAAATCGCCTGGCGTTTTTTCGGCAGTCTTTTTATTTTTTATTTTAATATTTTGGATATTTCATTCACTCCTGACGCCTAAAAGAGTCTAATTTATATTTTACCGTAGTCATTGACATCTATTCAAGAGTATGATTTTTATTGTGAATGGGTAAGCTTCGTTTCGACAATGAGCTGTTATTTCTGTGAACAATGTTAAATTATTCTTTGAATGCTCAGTTTATTTTTTGAAAACAACTAATTTTTTGATTAAAAAAAAAAACCATGCCGTTTTCCCCGTCAAAATCAAAGCATAAAGATCTTGCTACAACATCGGTGAATCTCTACTACTGTGTTGCGGTCACTGAACCGTCATTAACATATTTAAATGAGCCACGTGTAATGAAAACATGGCGGATATCGTATCGTATCGAGCATTTACATTCGACCGAAATCATTCGTTTACGATGAAACTAAGTTGAATATTACTTCCAATTCATAATCAACGAATTAATTTTTTGTGCGTTATTATAATCATTACTGAATAATAATCAACAATTGCAAACAAGTAAGTTATTCACTTGCGAAACACAGAATGACCAGATTGTGCTACCGTGATCATTTGCTACCGATACTAACCACTAAAGCAATGTATTCGTGTTTGTATTTATTCAAAACTTCTTTTAGAACATACTTTACTTTTCGTTATCAACAAAATTATATAAAAAAATAATGCATATTACATTATGTGAATTTTTTGGGGGGATTCAATTCCAACATTTCGCGATGCCTATTTTAGAACCAAATTAAGGCCCTTCACTCTTCTCTGAGTGTGACACCTAAACCAGAGGTTTTATGGTGTATAAACTGGCACTAAATGAAAAGGCCATTGAACCTTATTCAAATTTATAAGTACATGTTATTATGTATTTCATTATGAAAACTGTCTAAATTAAATGTGATCTTATTT